GGTAGGGACCAGCCCTAGCCACTTGTGCAGATAGATTAGTTTTAGAAAGTGAACATTGGGAATTTGAAGATCTAGAAAGTAATTCTTCCCAAACTATCTGTACCCACATGCTCCTTGGAAAATCTTCCCAGCTTGATAATTGCTGACCTACCTAACCAAGTCTCTGTTGATGACTTTGGGATAGCTTACAGGTTTTCTTTATTTTTGGTAACACCACTGGGCAAATTGACATTTTGGTATCTTGCCATAGTCTGCCTTTTTTACTCATTTATACTGTGACCAGAAGTACATGAAAGGGCCCATTTACCTACATACACCCTAGCTGGTGCTCCACATTATCAGTCTTTATTATCCATTGTCAATCTAATAGCAGAATATAGTTCTCATTTGCCTCTCTTCGGTTATTAATTACGTGAGCATATTTTGTGTGTCTGTGGGCCAATTGACGCTTTTCTCAATTTCCTTATTTCTGTGCTTTGCCAGTGTTTCTGTTGAGGGTGGTACTTTTTCTTATTGATTTGTAAGAGCTCTTGATTTCCTGAGGGTTTTAACCCATCATACGTTTGATTTTATGTTTGCCAGCTGGTTTTGGTAGCTTTTATGTTACACAATTTGTAAATGCTCACGAGTCTCTTTGAGTTTGTGCTTATATGGTTTCTAGATTTCATATCACATCACACTTAATATGCTTTTAAAAATTCCTTACACTGTTTCCTTTAAGTAGTTTTATGGTTAATTTTTAAAACATATAAATGTTTATTCCCTTTAGAATTTATTTTTATGATACAGCGTGAGGTGAGAATCTAATTTTTTCCCAACGGATAGTCTGTTTTTTCACACCATCTATTAAATAATTTGTCCTTTACCACTGATGGAAAATGCCGCCTTTGGTGTATGCTGCATTCTTAGTGTTCCTGACGTGTCCTTGGAATATTTGGAGTCTCTAACGTGTTTCCCTGCCTGCTGTGATCGGCTTATTCTGTCCCTTCACTGCTAGCACAGTGATCGTCCCAGGACACAGACTGAATCATATCACTCTTTTTAACTTTTTTTTTAAATTTTTTTATTGTTTTATTTATTTCTGAGAGAGAGACAGAGACAGAGACAGCGTGAGCAGGGGAGGGGCAGAGAGAGAGGGAGACACAGAATGGGAAGCAGGTTCCAGGCTCTGAGCCGGCTGTCAGCACAGAGCCCGACATGAGGCTCGAACCCACGAACCGTGAGATCATGACCTGAGCTGAAGTCGGACGCTTAACCCACTGAGCCACCCAGGCGCCCCTGAATCATGTCACTCTTCTGCACACTCTGCAAGGGTGTGCTGCCTACATGAGCACAGACGAGACTTGTTCACCAGCTCCAGTCCCACTAAGCTACCTTTCCAGTCACATTTCCTCGTGGAACCTCTGCGTTTTGGAACATAGCATATGCTTTCACGTATTTGTGTCTTTGCCCCTGCTGTTCTCTTTCCTAGAAATAGCCTCTTGATCCCCACCGGTTTCTTACTAAACCTTCTTTCCTTTTAAGACCCACGATAAAGCCTGACCGATGCCCCCCACTTTAGCTCTTGTTTCATTTGGTCTCCAACTTGCGATTTACCTTTCTCTTTCCCCAAATAGATGATGAGCTCCCTGAGGACGGAGAGCACCTCCTTAGCCTTCCCATTTCTCCCTTTGCCTTTCATTTCGTCTGTCTTTAGAAAACGCCTATTGAATAGAATCAAATCCAATCATATATACATACACACACTCACACACATCCATCTATAGCTCTCAAATGTTATTGAATGAGCGGCGCCTGCATGGCTCTGTCGGAGCGTCTGACTCTTGACTTCTGCTCACGTCATGGTCTCACTGTTTGTGGGTTCAGGTCCTGCATCGGGCTCTGCACCTGATGATGCGGAGCCTTCTTGGGATTCTCTCTCTCTCTCTCTCTCTCTCTGCCTCTCCTCTTCTGGCACATGCACTCTCTCTCTCTCTCAAAATAAATAAACTTAAAAAAAAAAAGTTACTGGATGGTAGTAGCCATTGTATCAGGGTCCCCAAGCCAGCCCCAGGGTTTGTGATTTGCCAGGACTCAGCATATGGTGGCACTCACAGCTGTGATGCGTTATGGTGGAAGGCTGCACAGCACATCAGCAGAGGGCACTGGCACCCAAAGTCCAGAGGACACCAGGTGCAAGTTTCCAAGAGTCCTCTCCCAGTGGAGTCACACAGGACGTGCTTAATCCCCCCAGCAACAAGCTGTGATAACACACGTGAAAAGTTGCCGACCAGGAAAGTTCATTAGAGACTCGGTGCCCCGGGTCTTTATTGAGGGCTGGTCACATAGGCCCCCTCGCCAGTTACATACCCGAATGCCAGACTCTCAGAAGGAAAGCAGGTATTCAGCATAGACCATATTGTTTGCATAGTTTAGACACTCATCGGCGGTGAGAACCCTCCCAAAATCTAAGTTCCCGGCTGATCAAGGGCCAACCTTGTAAGTACGGCTTTCGAAGGAAAGCTTAATTTCACGGATGGTAACTGCCTAAAGAGAGGAGGGAAAAATCAGTGTGTTAGGAGTGGCCAGGGAAAGTATGCTAAGTACTTTGATTTTTACTCTCGCGTCTTACAGAGGAGATCAGCTGAGTCATAGAGAAGAGGAGGGGCTACAGCCAAAGATCCACGTTTGGTGGTAGAGTGTAGACAGTTGGATAGAGATAGGAGTTTGCAAATTAGAGAGGGCCTTGCAAGCTGGGTAGAATATTGAGGATGTGATGTAATTATAGAGGATGTCTTGCTAGCCTGAGGAAAAAGTGACATTGAGGGTGACTGCTTGGCGAGCTGTGGGAATGCAGGGTTCTGGGGAGGGGAGGAGAGGCAGGCAGACCCGCGAAGGAGCATTTGCGGCAAGAGCAAGTGTCACCTTAGGAAGACATAGATGAGCGTGGCGCTCGCGTCTCTATTTCAGCATTCTGCTTAAAGTAGGTTTTCACGTCGTTGGAAGAGTGGAGGGGTCATCTTAGAGACGGTGCGTGGGTGTGGAGGAAGCTATGTCAAGGGTGAATGTGATTCAGAATAATTGTACATTTTTATAAACAAGATATTTCCGCTGAAAACATTGTTAAGAATTATTATAGTCCAAGTTTCCTTTTAAAATTGTTAGTAGGCAAAACAGATATTTTATTTGAAGATCAATGTATATATTTTTTGTATTATAGAAAACTAAGAAATGGGACACAATGAATTCTACTTCTTTTTTTTTTTTTTTATTTTTTTTTATTTATTTTTTTTTTTACAAATAGTTTATTGTCAAATTAGTTTCCACATAACACTCAGTGCTCATCCCCAAAGTGCCCTCCTCCATGCCCATCCCCCCTCCCCCCCACATCCATCAGTCCTCAGTTTTTGTCAGCATTCAAGAGTCTCTCATGGTTTGCCTCTCTCCCTTTCCCCCACCATTTCCGCCCTTCTTCTCCCCCTTGTTCCTCCGTCAAGTTCCTCCTAATCCTCCTATACGTGCAAACATATGATATTTGTCCTTCTCTGCCTGACTTATTTCGCTCAGCATAACACCCTCAAGGTCCATCCATGTTGCTACACATGGCCAGATTTCATTCTTTCTCATTGCCATGTAGTATTCCATGGTATAGATAAACCACATCTTCTTGATCCATTCATCTGTTGATGGACACTTAGGCTCTTTCCATGTTTTAGCTATTGTGGAGAGTGCTGCTATGAACATTGGGGTCCATGTGCTCCTATGCCTCAGCATTTCTGTATCCCTTGGGTAAATTCCTAGCAGTGCTATTGCTGGGTCATAAGGGAGTTCTATTGTTAGTTTCCTGAGGAACCTCCACACTGTTTTCCAGAGGGGCTGTACCAGTTTACATTCCCACCAACAGTGTAGGAGGGTGCCCGTTTCTCCACATCCTCGCCAGCATCTAGAGTTCTCTGATTTGCTCATTTTAGCCACTCTGACTGGCGTGAGGTGGTATCTCAGTGTGGTTTTGATTTGTATTTCCCTGATGAGGAGGGATGCTGAGCATCGTCAATGAATTCTACTTCTATTTAAGGGAATGATGTTGACCACAAATATATATGCATGTATTTTGAACATTTCACTAACTAACCAAAATAGAAAGACGAGTAACAATTTTCTCTCAGCACTGTTTTTCTTTGGAATTAAATGTTGCCATACTAATGTAAATGCCAAAAAAATAAATCAACTTTTAAATTTCTTTCAGTTTTAATAATATAAGATCCTAGTAAAAAGGTAAGGATATATGTATTAATAAATATTTTCAGTGTCCCAGGAAAACATGCCATTTACCATTTTTGCACTTTTATTAGTTGCATGGTCTTCCGTCCAGTTTGTGGTTGGTAATTTAATATTTCGCATAGCATCACAATATAGAATCCATGTCCATTACCCTCTTTAATCACAGTCTTGTTGTGAATTCCTTTTCCTATGTTTATGGAAGGCTTACAACTTTTTATGTTGTAGGTGACCATCCAAAAGCAAGGAAGCTTCTCCCCCCACCCCGCCCCACCAATAGCTTTCTCTGCTGTCAGCCAAGCCAGGAGCATCCATGTCGTTTTAGAATTAAATATGCCATACAGTGACAATGATAAAATACCAGTTTGAGACCGTGCGTGTGTCACATCAGACTCCGTGCCCGAGGGGCAGAGTTTTAAGAGTCTTGAATTTTTTTTTTTTTTTTTACAATCCCCAGGGACACCCACCCAAGTAGCAGAATGCCTTTTCATCAGCTTACTAATACCAGCGTATTGAGTGTCATATATTTTCTTTGTCCTACTGACCTATCATTTGGTATCTGCCTTGATGTGTTCCATTGTTCCTTTGCGTCTTTGGGGTTCTACATCCCTTTGTGGGGGTCTTAGCTGCAAGTAGTATAAAAATGAAAACATCTTGGAAATGGCACTGTGAAAAAAACGAGCTCAGATGTTATAAGTGACTCTTCTTTTGAAGTCTGGATTTCTTCTGTTTTCTCTCGATAGGAGTATACACCCATTGCCACCGCGGTCTAATCTGGAATTGTTACACGTGGAAAAGACCTTACAGGATGGTATTCGGGAGCAGCTTTTTATCCGAAGTTAGAATTGGCACTCAAGCACTAATGCAGTAATTTCCTTGATAACGTAACTTTATTTTTCTGTAGCGGAATGCTGCAGCTTTTTTACACCTAACACTTGCTTTTAAATTACAGTGTTCAATGTAAACGTCGTCTCAACTACAGTTTCTTTTGCAAAAAGTCTTACAAGGGCATTATTTGTCGTGGTTTTCTCTGAGCATGGTTTCATAGAGAACTTAAATGAGTTACATCTGGACGTTTATATGTTGCAAGTTTTGCTTATGTAATAAAAAACAAAACAAAAGTATGTGAATTGTATAGTGTCTGTGCGTGAAAGAACTTGAAACAGTGGCCTTATGGTAGCAAATTTTATACCAGGTTTTCCTTTTTTCTGATGATAGTTTGGCTTATAACTTGTTTTCTTAAGCTTCTGAAGATCAAGGCCTATCTAATTTATACATTTCATATTACAATATAAGAAGGCAAGAGAAAAGGTGCTTCAAAATTTCCATCGGGTAGTTATGAGTGCACTGAATTTTTAGTAATTGGTTCATTCGTTTTTTTCCACAACTATTTGCTCTTTCCAGTTTCAAAATGCTATTGTGGAAAAAATGTAAATTTTGTAATCTCTTTTCCATCTTATTTTCCCCTCAGGGCAAGCTTGTGCATACCATATTTTTAAAGGCTTTTTAAAAATCTGACAGACAAAGTTTCATATTTGGAAACTGTACTTTACTACTACTACAGCATTATACATTTTGCAGACGCACAAAGTGTTTATTTTCAGTTCAGTTGTGTTGAGGATGTACTAGCATAAGGTAAAATTGATGGGATTCTAAATGATATTTTAGGTCCCGGTACCTTATTCCTTTATGTTTTCTGTGTTCTGCTCAGTGATACATACACATTCCCAGTTAAACTTCTGTGAAATGCTTATTTGTAATGAAATAAAAAAACTGTTGCTCCTTCTGCTCGAGGAAGTTACTTGCCAGCTTGTGAGGACATTATTTTAATTTCGTATGAGAATTATAGCCCTGAGTAGGACCCCTTGATATTTAAAATAGGTCTACCCTTACAAAGGCAGAACTTTTAAAATCGAAATCTGGTAAAAACTTGATTTCTCATGACTGGATTTGAAAAATCTTGCTACAAACATTTAATTTTTTTACTTGTCTTTGTAAGATAGGGAAGCCATTTCCTTAGTGAGTCAGCAGTAAGTGGGGGCGAGAGTACGTGCATTAAAACTGGGTAATAAATTTAGGTGGATGTCCTGTCTTACTGCTGTGTGCTGCCCCTGCAAGTCAGGTTTTCCAGACATATTTGCCATTCCACTTATGGTAGGAAAGAATTACATGTGCACAGTAGTACGACAACCTTATATCGGGTTAGGTACGCGTAACATCTGCCTTAAGTTTTAAAATAATTCATTTATTCTCATATCCTGGGGGGCACTTACGAGCCTTGAATACTTAACCCTTTGATAAACACATATTTATTGCACAGATTCTGTGCTAAAATTACAGTGGTGAACAAGAGAACAAGACACGTGCAGCCTGCCTTCATGGTCCAGTTGGATACGGAAACTGGACATTCAGCACGGAAACCCAACAGTAAGCAGCGCTAATTCTCTGGCTCTGTTTATTGTGGTGCATAAGGCTAAGGCAGTTGACTTAATATGGATCCTTCCACAACTGAGTTCCTAGTTAGGCATATTTGGATATACTTTTGGCATCATCTCTATATGCAAAGCATGTTATTTGCAAAACACCTATTTGTGATGTGGGTGTATTCAGAAAATACTGAGTCCGTACGATTTGAAGCCTCAGAAGAAAGGCTTGCTTGATAATTTCGAGTATAAGGACGGGAACTGTGTCTGTCTTGTTCACCATAGTATCCCTAGCTCCCAACATCCTACTTGGCACACAGTAAGAACTCATTAAATACTAGTCTAATGAATGAGTAACAAGTAGGATATGTTTATTAGGAATTAAATATCTAATTTGCATGTGGAGGTTGAACAAAATGGTATTTTATCCATAGCATTTTGTATTGCCCGAGAGGATTTTGAATAAAAGAGAAGTTATTTGGGGAAGTCACATACTGTTGTCTTCTCCCCTTCTTCCCCTGTATGGTAGGGGGACAAAGGTAATAATGTGACAGAGTCCCTCCTCCGAGGAAACTCAGCAACTGTTGGAGAAGAGATTCACAGAAACAAAGAATTCAGTGCAGAGTGCTAAGTGCCATACAGAAGTTGAGAAAAAGAGTTGGCATTCCTGGTCCAGAATCCCCTGGTCACGTTTTCTTTCTTGCTGATTTCACAGACCTCAAAAGGCACTATTCTGCTGGTGGTTTTGCTGGTTTTAAATTTTTATGGGTTGGGGGAAACCGGGTAAAGTGTGCATGGGCTCTCTCTGTATTACTTCCTGGAGGTCCATGTGTATCTGCATTTATCTCAAGGTAAATTTCAATTTAAAAAAAGATACCCCTAATCTTATCACAGACAAAACTACTATACATACGTAGGAGGCCGCATTTCCTTCTTTTTTTTTTTTCCCTTGGAAAGAACTATTATATTTACATTGTAATAATTTATGTAGATGTATCATTTGGGCCACATTTTACCCAACAAATCCTACACTTGTGGAGCTTGTTTGGTTTTTTTTTTTTTTTAAGATGGAGATACTTCCAGGCAGAAGTAGGAAGAGTAAAACTGAATCAAAAACTCACCTTCTCCATTTCCCAGCAAACCCAGTAAGCCGCGTCCACAGATTAACCAGCAGCAGCCAGTAAGGGAGAGGGGAGAAGACGCTCTTCTAACAGGTGTAGTGTGACTTCAAACCCGCCCCCTCAGTAACACAGAGTAAAGAAACAAAGTTGACGACATCTTGGTGGCAAGGACCTCTGCGTCTCAGGACCTCTGCAAAAGGGGAAAGGTTCACCAGGGCACCGCACCTCCAGGGTCGAAGAGCAGCCTGGGGAAGCCGAAGCCTACAGGGTAAGATCCACTGAACCCTGCTTTGGGACACTTAACGGGAATCCAGAAGAGAGAGGATGGCCAGGTTCCCCAGCAGCGTTGCAGCAAAAGGAATGGTACGAGCTCTGAGTCCGTCAAAATACAGAACTAAGATTCATTGAAACGGAGGGGTCATAGTCGTAGAATAGAATGTAGATGTTAAAAACCTTAACAGAGAACAGTTAGCGTATTCTGATCAATTAGGACGTGATGGGGGGAGTAGGATGAAGATTAAGAACTAACTGCCCCATATCGTACGGCCAGGTGTCATGTCAAGTTATAATGTCTAAGATTGTATGCTATAATACAGAAAAAAAAAAAACACCTAGCGAGCGACCTTAATTTTTTTCACAGTCGTTTTCTTGACCTCAAATACACCTTTCTCAAAGTGTGGCCTCCAACCAGTGACATCAGCATCACCTGCAAAATTGTTAGACTTGAAGATTCTTGGCCCTGCCCCAGACCTACTGACTCAGAGCCCGGGGCCGGGGCCCAGCAGTCTGCATGCCCTCCAAAGGATTCTGCTGTGCGCTCAAGTTTGAGAATCACTGGCTCCCACAGTTCTTTTAGGAACCGATAGCCCTTATGGTGAAGAAACATTTATCTCAAGTCCAGCAGCCCCTTTTTATTTTTAAGTTCTGTAGCATTCAAACAAAATTAAAACTGTTTAAAATAAAAAGTATAGCGATTCCCACCATCAGTCCTGTCTGCCTATGAACTGAGAGGTCTGAAAACACACCCATCCTCTGTTAACACTGGTGACTTTTTTGAGTGGTGGGATTATGAGTGAGTGACTCTTTGTGTTTTCTGTATGGACTGAATACAATGAACATTGTATCGTTTTTATAAAATAAAGTCATTCTTTAAAAAAAAGTGGTAAGAATATTTCATCCTATCCATAGTAGATCTGTTACTAAAATTCACTTATGCAAGTTTTACCTCCAAGGACTGCCTCCTTCACCTGACGCCTTGCCGCTCCTCTTCCCACATCATGACGTGTGGGTAAGCTTCTTTAAGTATATGTTGTGTTGACTTTTTAATAAGAATTCTTGACTTAAAATATTTAACGTAATTACATATAATTTAAATCATTTTACGACTGTTCTTTTAAAAAAGAAAAGCCTTTTTTCTCTAATAAAAGTACATAGAATAGGGGCGCCTGGCCGGCTGAGTTGGTAAAGCATGTGACTCTTGATCTCAGAGTCATGAATTTTAGTCCCATGTTAGGCGTAGAGATTACTTGAAAAAAAAAAAAAGTACACAGAAAAGTGTGTAAAGGGAAGAAAAATACATTCATAATCACGCTGTTTATATATATTTAGGGTAAACTTTTGATGTTTTTTCATTAGTCTTTTCTGAGTTTTTGGTAGTTGAGATAATATTGTATATATTCAATCTTTGCAGATAGTCACATACATGTTTAAAACATATTTGTATGATGTTCAAGTTGACATATTTTGGAGGGCAAGGGAGAGAAGTCTATTCCCAGAAAGCTAAAACTGTCTTAGAAATCCTGGATTATTATATTAAAGTTTAAAGGGGGGGGGGGGCGCCTCGGTGGCTCAGTCAGTTGGGTGTCCGACTTCAGCTCAGGTCATGATCTCGCGGTTCGTGGGTTTGAGCCCCGCTTCGGGCTCCGTGCTGACAGCTTGGAGCCTGGAGCCTACTTCTGATTCTGTGTCTCTCTCTCTCTGCTCCTCCCAGGCTCACACTGTCTCTGTCTCTTAAAAATGAATAAACGTTAAAAAAATTTAAATATAAATAAAGTTTAAAGGTGGGGGCTGTATACATCATGAAAGACATTAAAAGCTAGATTAAGGATCCCTGGGTGGCTCAGTCGGTTAAGTGTCTGACTTTGGCTCAGGTCATGATCTCTGCTCGTGGGTCTGAGCCCCACATCAGGCTCTCTGCTGTCAGCACAGAACCTGCTTCAGATCCTCTGTCCCCCTCTCTCTGCCCCTCCCCTGCTCCCTCACTCTCTCTCAAAAATAAACAAACAGTTTTTAAAAAGCTAGATTAAGTTTTACGGATAATTTTCTAAAGTAGATTCTTACCTCAAATTCTAATCCCTTCTAGACAGGGGCACCTAGCTTGCTTAGTCAGTAGAGCATGCAGACTCTTGATCTCAGGGTTGTGAATTTGAGCCTCACCTTGAGTGTAGAGATTACTTGAAATTCTAGTCCCTTCTAACGATGTTTAAAATAATATTTAGTAAAGGAGAAATTAATGTTACGAAGTTCTTGCTGATAACAGTTTCTGCAGGGGATTACAGGGAACACGGTGCTGCTCACTTAATGGTCTCCTAACAGCTCTGGTGAAAAACCATTGTCAAGAGGTTCCTCAAAAAGCTAAACAGAGTTACCATAGGATTTCACCCTTAGGTATATTTATCATTTTGGCTCCCATTTCTGTGTGTGTGAACTGTTTTTTAACTTCTGAAAGACGGAGGATTTTCCCTTTATCTCTGATATTCTGAAATGTATCGAGGATGGGTCTTTTTGGTGGGAGTGTTTCATTCATTGAGCTGAGCTCCTGGTGGGCCCCTTCCATCTGGAGATCTAGGCCCTTCCATTTTATGGTCATTTTCTCCTTCCACATTTCTCTTCTGAAGGTCTGTCCTCTCCTCCCAACCCGGCCCTCAGGGCAGCACTTGCCTGTCTGGCCTCTTTTTCACTTATTTACTCTTATCTCCTTTGATGTTTTAAATTCTGATTTGTATCTTCCATGGCCCCAGCTCTTTTGGCTGTGTGTTCAATCCAGTCACTTCTCTTCCCTTGGCTTTCCCTACATCCTCCTCCCCTCTGGGCCTCTCTCCACCTATGAGATCACTTGCCCTCTGCCCTCTTGTGTTAGTGTTCCTGAGAACATTCCCTTTCTTTTTTCCCTCCACACTCTCCATGGACGATTTAATTTAGATTCATGTCTTTTGATACCATATGTTCATTAACGTGTAAAAAAAAGTTATCTCCACACCTGACCTCTCTCTCTGAGGTCTACACACTTATTTCCACTTGTCACATAGAAATTTCCACCTGAGGGGTGCCTGGGTGGCTTAGTTGGTT